CAACTCGCTTCATTTGACATACAGTTCAAGTCAGTGAGGCGCTGGTGCGGAGGTGTTAGTCAAACATGGTGTGACAGTATTGACTGTGGCCTGTTTACTGAAAGGAGTTCAGAACAAGATCAGCTAAACATACATTATGGTGGATCGATTCTTGCTGAAGAAGTGAGCAATGAGCTTGATATTAGTCTGGTTTGAGGACCAGCAAGCACTTGACCACTTAAGATTTCCCCTTGCTTTTTCCCCATCTCAGCCACACGGACCAATAGCTGCTAGAGGAGAGTTATTCTTCTGCGGTACAACCGATGGATCCGGTGTGAATCTGGTCTTGGGCTAAATAAGCCAGCATCCAGAGAACATCCTGTAAAAAAAAAAAAGGAGGGAAAAAAACCAGCAAATGCAAAACAGAGAGCAGGAGGGAAAGAGAGAGGTAGAGAGAAATGTGTATTTGCTCTCCTGGGTCTTGGCTCCCCTTCATTATAACCTTAGTCATACTTCATACTTCCTTCCCTTTTATCTTTGACACACTCCATCTGTTTCTCATCACGTGAAACCCCAATATAAATACAGTACCAGGCCTGTGTAGTGCATAGGGCACTTTAAGATACAGCCCTAATGCATGTTATTTCTAAAGTTTACACATACTAATAATATATTCTTCTGGAAGATTTCAAGCTTTAAATGCATTTTAAAGCAGGTAATCCCCAAAGATTACGGTGCAAATCAAGAAAAATGAGAAAGCCATTGGTGTTACGGAATCACAGCAGAGGCGCATTGGGTTTATACAATACCTGCTACCCTTAAACCCACATACAAAGTGAATGACAGGAAGACACCACAGGTAACTCCCCAGTCTGCAACACTTCCATGTCAGAACACAATAGTTGTATTGACCTCCAGGGAGCGCATGGATCAAGATCAACTGACCCCTAAATACCCCATCAAACACAAAGGTATCACAAGTGTGTTCATGAAGGGGTCACAGTTTACGCCGAGAACCGCCCTGCCTTTAGCCCGCACGACCTGCAAGGTGTGTGGGTGGATGGAGGACTGATCCGTGGGGAGAGGGCCTTAGAGAAATGTCCTGGGTGGCTGTGATTGCCCTACCACAGTGTACCTCATCTGTACCTCATCCCTTCTTCCAGGGTATGCAACCATGAAGTCAATCAGCACGACACCAGGGCATCAATCACTCAAGCTCCCTTTGGGGTGACCTGCTTGCTCCTGGAAGGCATACAGAGTTAAAAAAGAAAAACAGCATATATCTGAGAAAAGGGCAGTAGGTTTGTTCCAGCCCATTTCTAGCAAAGGCTGCAAAATACAAGTTATCATGGTGTTAGATGTATCAGTTCTTGCACTTTTAAAAAAAAACAAAAAAACTCATGAGTCCTGATATTGTATTCTTTGATTAAAATGTTTTTTAGGTCCAGATCCTTGTATCTTCCTATATCACATTGTGCTAAAAAGGAGAGAAAATCATTTCCCCCCCCGTCCCGATTATCTCGCATGCAGTTTTGCATCCTCCACCAAACAAATCTCCTGCTCCAAAGGGCCCTGGCCCCATTAATAATTCCCTCTCTAATCTCCCCCTTCCATCTGATCAGGTCTTTTCTTCACAGCCCCTCTCCATTTCTCACCTGCCCAGAAACTCCATCAACACCTCCTCCTCTCCCTCTGTGCAGGGTTCACCGCTTTTGATGTCCCGTTGTTAGCTTAAAATGAGCTTTAACAACTGTATAATCTGAAATAACATTGCCTTAGCCCATTCCTGGAAGAGAAGACGAAGGAGAAGAAAGAACATGTTCCGAGCTAATGGATGTTCGCTGGATGTGTAATGTAATAATTTTGGTGAAAAGGAGAAGGAGAGTATAGGAGGAGGGGAAAAAGATGAAATGGATGGATGAGTAGTGGGATAGATGAATAGAGGTTAGGGTCAGAGGCAGCATGTGAAAAAGTGAGAAAAGAAAAGGGGGAAGCAGATGGAGCCAGAAAGAGGCTGGGCTGATTTAATCTTTTCGCAGGGCCTGTGGTTGCTCCTCTCAGACCACTCTGACAGCAGAAAGGATTTGGCAGACTCATCAAAATTGTAATCTCTTACCCCTCTCACATCACATTGGCAGATGGCATGCATGCGGTCACTCTCCTGACTTCTTCCTGCCAATGTTGATATAGAATATGTGATAATAGCTAATTATCTACTATACAAGAGCTCAACTTGGCCTTGGTGCAACTTCATTCCTTTTCCCTTTGCCCTGAATGCATTACTCGCATCTTATGAAAGAGCCAACTTTAAAATATTCTATATCTGAATTGTTGATGTAGCCCGCGTTTAAATGTATCTCTGTGAGCTTGCATGCTTGGTTGGAACTTCCTGTGATGTTTAATTCATAATCATTATGCAACTCGGCACTGGGCTAGCCTTTGCTCGACCTCAGTAATCTTTGAGGATTTCATTATTAGAGATAGCAATCTCCGATGCTGCAGAGGAAAAAAAGGACCACACTCTAATTCACTCTACCATGACTCATCATTACACTCTAGACGCCTCATCAAGTAGCTGCACCACCTCCTTGCTGTCCTCGGAAGGACTAATTCCCATTTCCTTCTTCCCTTTACCTTGCATTAAGTAGCCGGCCCTCCTCCCTCTCCCTGTGCAAACTCTTGGTGTTGGATGTCACTAACAGCACTTACTGGTCCTGCAATACAGCAAAGAAGCCTGCAGCAGCCTGGCCGCCAGTCCCTGGTGTGGTCAGAGTAGGAGGCCTATTGTGGCCAAGTCATTGATCGAGAGGAGTAATGGATCTGGCTTAGGCTGATAATGCATGATGTAATTGTCAGAGGAGTTTAATTATATGCTTATTACATGAGGCACTGAGCATTCATGCTCCCACCCCATTTACTGCACACTCCCCGTGAAGGCCATACGGGGGAAAGAAGGGGGGGGAAAAAATCACGTTTAAGGTCTTACAGTAAATGGTGCACCTACTGACAGGTCCAATTGAGCCAGGGAACAATGATTGACTTATTAAAAACAACAACAACAACAACAATACAGATGATAATATTAACAACAATAACAACAAATGAAGACAGAATGTTGCCGTTAAAAACCCAGTAGCCTATGTTTGTGTTTCAGATTCCAGTTGCCAGGTGTCTCCAGTTCACCCATTGACATTGAAGGGAGTGTGAGGGTCCCAGTTAATCTAACTTTTCTATCATGGCACGCAGCCCTTCCATCCCTCCATCCCCTCATCCCTCCAGGCCATGCTGAACCGTAATGGTGGCCTCATCGCATGTCTGAGTGCATACGCTACACTGAGCAATGCTTTTCAATTACCTGCGCTGGAGCCTCAGATGAAAATACATAGCACATATTTCGGAGGCAAAATGCTTAGGTCAGACGCACTGAGAAATAAAATATACCTTATGTCATTTCATTTGACAGTTGTCCTTTCCCAGCTTTTGAATAGAGGTCGTCACATGTGGTGGTGTGGCTGCGTACAATGTGTGTGTAGCCGATGCAGATGTGTTTACGAATCAAGTCAGTCATACTGTGATTTAGCTTTGAAAAAAAACTGTGAAATGAAGAAACAGTATGAATCCATACACAACATCCCAGCTACATTATTCAACTCAGCATGGAAAACAAAAACAACCTGGCCTTTATCACCTCATCATCACCTGTGTGAGGACACCACAGGGTTTAGGTTTCTCTGTTCTTTGCAGCCTAATCATTAACAGCAAAGACCTGAATGTTTACAACTTCCTACTATATTTTCCCGAATATCCGAATATTCGTTCGTTGGAGTACTATTTGGGTTTCAATTTCGCTATTCGTTTTTTTTTGGAATGTATTGAAATCTCCAATATCAACGTAAGAGCTTGTGCCTCTTCGGGGGGTGCTAACACTTAACCATAAACGTTATCATTTACTTTCTCCGTCTTTATATGTAGATATTACTTTTTCTCCATTAATCTCCGTCACGTTGTTTCCATAGCAACAACAACTTCCTGTCAACTGCGTTAACTCTCCTTCAAAATAAAAGCATGTCCATACAAAATAGAAAGCCAAGCCAAATTACACTTAAGACATATACAACTGCAACGAAAGTAACACACACAATGCAATATCCTTTTAAATGTCAAAGAACACAAATTGGGTTGTATACATTAACAAATAACTATAAAACAACAATACTGTAGAATAACAAAAAGAATGCCGTGAATAAACCGGAATACTCGTGTCGAACCTGTTCGCTGCTGATTACTACCGAATATCCGGAGCCCGAAAAATGGTATTCGGGATAGCCCTACTTCCTACATGACTTTTGTGAGTCACACAAGAGGCAATAACTAGCATGCCAGGCAGAAATAAATTCAAAACTGTAAACATTAGCGACAGTTTCATTGTGGGGAGGAGAAAGAGAGCAATTAACATGCAGAGACAAACACAAATAAATCAAATATAAAATAAAACCAGCTCTTTTCCACACATCACAGTCTCGGAGCAATTGTGCAACATACTGGATCAAATGCAAATCCCTACAGGCCACATTTTGAAAAAGCCCTCATTGGACAAGAGCTTACTTTACTGTTTATGGTCTCATCCCAAATTACCCGAACCCCCCCCCCCACCAACACACACACACCACACACACACACACACAACACACACACACACACACACCACACACACACACACACACACACACACACACACCACACACACACACACACACACACACACACACACACACACACACACACACACACACACACACACAACGACACACCCACACACACACACACACACACAGAATGTGTGAGATAGGAAATGTGTGCATTGTGTGTGAGACCGCGCTGCCGGACCACCAGCACTAAGGCCATAATTTACGTGGGATGGTATCCTACCGCAACAAAAGATAAACCCATATACCATATGTCTCTGTGGAGAGGTCGGATAGGTAAGACCTAAGGGAGCGGGGCTAGGCCCACGGGCCGAGTCAGGAGCAGGTGCAGGGCGGGAAGGGCACCGTCGCCTGGTTGCGGAAATCCCTGCTGGTCCCGGCCATGTCGGAGACTGCATTAATGATCTCCTGGTGTCCGCCCATGTCGGAGACTGCATTAATGAGTTTCAAGTAGGGAAGAGAGGCTGAGGCCAGGTCTGTAATGGTGTCCGCCTGGAATAGACAGGGGTTTGTGGGTGGGTGGGTGTGTGTGTGTGTGTGAGAGAGAGCTAGAAAGATAGAGAGAATACATGGGGTTGTCTGTAAGGGGTGAAACAGGACACCTCTGATCTCTCACACACAAATCATAGAAGATCACTGCTCTGACTGCTACAGGCCGCTCTATGGATGTGCCTCCCTGCACAACATCCAGCTGGGCAGGCATTGCTGTTTATGAAGTTGGCAGATACCCAGCTATGCAGCTATGCATTTTTATGGAATCACAGGGGCTCTGACAAAAACACACATTCGCTTCATTGCACATGCAAACTTCGGAAAACACGGATAGAAAACACAGTGTGGCATTTGAACTGGAACATAACATCCAGTTGCCTTGTGAACATTAGTTTGGAGGTTACACTCAAGCACTATTTGCAGCATTTAGCAATTAGGTGGAAATGCTCAGATCAAATATGGAACAACAAACACTAGCAGTTATCTTTTTATAATCTCATGTATGGAAATGAGTGTTTGATTTTCCCCTCATGCAAATGAGATTTTCAATTAACTAAGAAAAAATCTGGGGCTTGGCAGAGCGTTGCGCGCTTGTCTATTGTGTCCTCCCCACACAGAAATAAATTATGAATACCTAAATAGCATTTCACATTTGAGATAATGATGGTGCTGTGAGAGAGAGAAGTGGGAGAGAAAGAGAGCATCTTTTAACATGCAAATAAAATACACCACTTTGTTTTCTCTAGCAAAGATCAATCATAATTGGGCAGGTACACACAATCACAGGGGTAATTTGATGACCCATTTCATTTTTGGATCACGCAGCCCAAATCTCTCGGCTCCTCTCCCATGTGTGCTGCTCTGTGTGTACTCTGTGTTCACTGACTTCTGTAAAAGAATAAAAAGTCTGATTATCAAAGGCTCTCTATACCGACGGCATAGAACACAGTCACATTTTATTTTATTTTTCGGTTCTCTACTTCAATAAAATATCCCAAACTTTCATTTTTTCTCCTCTTGTAAAAAGAAATGCATGCCAATTCACATTTCAGGCTCTCTGGCTCCACTTGGAAGTCTGTCTGCTTTTCGGATGGCAGAGAAGTAATTGAATGGAGTTGCACTCTGATCTCTAGTCATTCTGAAAACCTTATCGCAGTGTCTGAGTTCAAAAGATAAGGGGTTACGCTGCCGAGCAGCTCCTTATGCACCGCTAATGAATGTTCCCACAGCGAAATGGTGAATGAGGAACCAGACAAGTCATTAACAATGAATAGTGTACACATTCAGAGAACAAATGTACAGTGCATTATATAAATACTCAGAGAATACACTACGTAAACATGAAGACCCACCCACCAACCCACTGCCACAAACAGTTCATATTATGATTGCCAAGCCAATTAGGCTGTACAAGGATTGACACAAACATTAAAGAGCCTTGGCTTCGTCCTCCCTCAGGGCGGCTGGGTTAGGAGTTTGGCCTAGTCTTATGTAAGTTCCCTCCCTTGCCTTCTTCACACTCCCTGTGGGCTTAGTGAACAGCACAGGCTCGCTGTCTCTAATGTAATCTTATAGACTCAGGGGAAAAAAGCCCAAAGCTCTCAAAAAGAAAAGAGACGGGAGGAGGTCATTCAAAGTCATGTTTGAAAAACCACTATGACTAAAGGATCACAAAGAGATGAATAGTGGAAGCACACTGTATGTCACCCTCAGTGGTACGCCTGTCGACACATTTGCACATATCTTGTACATGTCAGAGCTTAGGGTGGTGTCTCTGTGGTTTTAAAAGCGCTAAAAGCCATATCAGCAGGTGTAAAAGATGATGGAAGAAGTGCTGAAGTCAGTGATGTTTGTTTTTACTGTATGGCCGTCCAATGACCACTGAAGTATGAGTTTATGTGTGTATACACTGCACTGAGAACAAGAGTGTGGAGATTGATGGGGACACCTTTGAGAGCTGCTGGGTGTGTTTACCAGCGGATTTCCGGTGTACCAGGGGCTAACTCTGCAGGCCTCTACACACTCACAAGTATCAATCTTCTCTGACCTGGCCTAGAGCCACATCCTCCCAGAGGAAGTAACTCTCTCCTTCTTCCTTCCTTGCTTGCTTTCCATCTCAGTCTCTCTCCTGTCTCTCATAACCTCTCTTTATTTCCCTCCTTCTCTGTTCTCCCATTTCCATCGACTCTCCTTCACTTCGCCCTCCCTCTTCCTCTCCGTCCATCTCTCTTCCTCTATCTGACCTCATCCCTCCACTAAATCTCTCTGCTGTCAAGTGATGCACCAGGAACGCGGAAGTTGTGAACTTGTGAGTAGTGAGATCAATAAAGCAAGGACAGGCTGAACGATCTACCCAGAGACAATGCATTTTGTGCCGAGGATGGGCACCGCGGGCCATAAATCCTGCCATCCGGGCCCGTCTTCTGGGCAGAGAGCGTCACTCGTCATCATCATCGCCGTCTTCATCGAAGGGGGGGGGGGGCAATGGAGTCACTGTAAACAGTTACGTCAGCCGTCCCATCACTGCCAGCGGAGCAGATAAATCCATATTAGCAGGAGTGATGAAAGGGACTTTGATGCATGTTCATAACTGAGTCGCACCAATGAAATATGAGTGGGCTGTGTCATATATGTCATGACAACATACTGTAGATGGGCTTTCATATGAAGGAGGCACACACACTGGTTGGGATGAGCTTACCATACGACGTTGATGATAAGTGTGATTGGTGACAGAGCAGGAGCGTAATCCGCAACCTCTGAGAACTTGAATGCATCTTTGACCTTTTATATGACTCTCCGTAATGATCCATGTTATTGTAGATGCATGCTGATCTCCCGAGAGATGAGTGATAAGTAAATCTAAATCACGATATACTGAAATGCACACACACACACACACAGGTTAGAATTGGTAAAAATCCAAACGAATCACTAACTGGAGCAACTTTTTTGTTTGAGGTGGGGGGGGTGTGTATTTGGGTGTATGTGCGACTTAAGAAAACCCACACAAAATATTTTATTTATATTCCATACATAAATAGTAGGCTGTTTGGTCCCGTCCCAGCAGTCTTCATATTTCCTGGTGACATTATCAGCTGTCTCCATCGTGTGCAGAGCGGGAAATAAATTGCATTTTTTTCCGTTGGTTCTGTGGCTGCAGACGGCAGGAGGAGCATTATAATATAAAACATGAATAAACAAAATCACTCATGAGCAAATGTGCAGGAGCATGGGGAGGTAATCTCCTTTAGGCATGGTCCTTGAAATTAACTCAAAGAATCTGCACATGAAACGTGTTAAGAAGATTAATCAAATATTTCTCCTACACCCACCCCCCCCCCACTTCCACCAACTCCAGCCTCTATTCAAAGTTTCTGCGCTTTTTTGTATTCAAACATTATGGTAATTACTTATTATTGTGCTTACTTGACGAAGATTGCCTGGCCACAGATGAATTGGAGTCAGGCAAAGTATAACACTATATGTGTGAAATTGTCATATCTTTTTTCTAATGTGGCTCCGGGTAGGTATGAGTGCACCAAATGTGGGAGAAGTGCATGGCAGTGAAGGTGTTGCGTAGTGTGAACAGGGGCAGTGGGCTTGAATAAGTCGGAGAGCAAGTGAACTAGATAATACTTTTAAGAGTGTTTTGAATCACAGAGTTTCAGACTCAGGAGCTGGATCAGCCTGATCGAACATCTTATCACGCATCTGTGTACCAGAGGTAACATTTGCTAGATAAACATAACCCCTTAAATCTTGCACTTCCATATGGTCATATATTAAATTCAGCAAGCAGCGATCAGGAGCTACAGTTAAAGAATGCAGGATCAGATGCCACTCATATGTCCTTCATCTAGAAATGCTGTCAGACGTAAGCGCGGGTAAATCACTCATCTGTCCATGTAATCATGCAAATGTGTATTATCCCTCATGTCCCAAACAGCTCTTGTCACTCCTTTATGCATGTTTTCTTCGTACCTCATCGCCCACATAATGTCGGACAAACTCTGTTCAAAGTATACACAGTGTTTTTTGCTACAGTATCTAGGGAATATCAGTCTGCTGGTCTAAGAGCTTGACAAGTGGATGGATTGCCCTGAAAGTTGGCGCAGACATTCAGGATCCCCTGAGGATGAATCTTAATGACTTTGGTGATCTTGTGACTTTTTATCTGGCGACACCGACAGGTCAAAAATGTTGATGTCTAATACTGCAGTTTATGACATACCACTTTAAATACAGACAGAATTTCAATCATCCTTTGCAGTATTTTGAGATTAATGCTGTCATAACATGTTGAATGTTAGCACGATAAAAGATTTGGTCCATCTGGTGGGTAACAAGTATTAAAAACTCATGGTATGGTGGCCCTCACAGGTCAATGCGCTTAAAATAAAGAGAAATAATGAGAATTTAAAAAAACAACGCTGCAAGAAGCTAAAAATACAACATAAGCTATTTCCACGGGACAATTAAAAAGTGATCCATATGGCTGGGACATGACTTTTTGAGATACTGCACCTACCATATTGTAGTGGCAGTCAACCCCTATTTATAATTGTATTACTATTAAAGTTGTTGTTTATTCAAATCACTTTTAAGCATCCCTAGAAACTTTTGATTTGTGTTGTTGGCTTCTTTTTGGACTATTTATGGTCACATGTGTCGTCAAGTTGGAAAGATGTTTCTTAATTTGCTCCTGTGTCTGATGACGTGTTATCTTAATTTGCAAAGCCTTGAACTCTCATGGCCACTCTATCAGAGAGTAGTTAGCAAGACACATCTTGTACTTTATGTCCTTTTAAAATGTACAGCAACAAGTGTATATTCTATTATTTCAATGTTTTGTGGGAAAATGTCCCTTGAGTCTTGTATTATCCAACAGTTTTATTGGAACTTTAATTATACATTAATTTGGTATTGGTTAGTATGT